CCCCCCCCCCCCAGGCTGCTGTTTAGCTGTGTAAAGCTGGCCATACACCTAACAACCATCGCACGACTTTCCCAACGAACTTCCCATCTTGGACAGGCAGATGGTACTTGCTGAGGGGAGGGGCTTACAGATGATTGCAATGGTGAGCGGGCAGTGTGCGCTTGTGCACCTCGGCCCGTGCGGCTTTCGTCTTGCAGTCGCACTACCTAGTACGATTTTTGGCGTGTTTTCTAGCGTGTTTAGAAGACGAAAGTCATGCACCGTACAGTAGAAGCGGTCGCACGCTGCCCATACACCTGCCGATTATCGTACGATCGCGGGACCACCCACAACTATCGTACAATAATCGTCAGGTGTATGGGCGCCTTTACACTGGAAGTGATTCTGGGGGCTGAGCTGCCACCAGATCTCTTCCAGGGGCCGATGAAAAGTGCCCCCACCCGACACCCCCCCAGCTCCGGTGCCCCTCCTGCAGACCTGGGACCGGCATCGCCGGTGTCGGTGGGTAGAGTGGGAGAGAGACCAGCGAACATCCTTCCGAGTGATTGCATTACTTGCAGCGTCTCGGCTAGTCGTTCCCTGGCTGGAGAAGTCGGGGAGGAAGCTGTCCGGGCGCCATCTGTGCTCGAGTAGCTACACGAGGGGTCTAATGTCACCATAAAGAGTACCTGTCATCACAAATATTCTATCACATAGGCGGCTTCTCAAACAAATTAAAAAGTTTAAGTAAAATAAATGTAAAAAAAACAAAAACGTTTTTAAAGGCCCCGCCCCCATTCGTAGGTAAACAGGCGTCGGGTGCGCCGATGTATGAAGATGACGATTGTGTTACACGGGTTGGGTATCGCCAGAGTGAGAGCAATAATTCCGGGACTGATCTTCACAGTTAACTATAAACTGATGACCTGTACGGGCTTTTAAAGCGACGCCGATGGACAATTTGCGGTGCCGCGTTTTGTCGCCGTTTCACGGGCGCACCCGCAGTGGGTATTTTCACTGATCCCCATAGTTGGAGCCGACGTGTGACAATGACACTGTGACAGGTCGGCTCAGTAGTTCGGAAGGTGAGAGAACACATACCGGCGCTCGCTTACTTCTCGATCCTGTCCCTGCAGAGAGCCGTGACTGTCACTCACCACTCCCTGCAGGGATTCCCCGCTCCGATCCTCCAGCGCTGACTGGCACAACAGACGGGGGAGGGGGCGAGTACAGCTATGTCCGCCTCTAGATAGGCAGAGCCAGCTGTCACTCACGCAGCTGGGTGGTCCCCCCCCAGGCTGCTGTTTAGCTGTGTAAAGCTGGCCATACACCTAACAACCATCGCACGACTTTCCCAACGAACTTCCCATCTTGGACAGGCAGATGGTACTTGCTGAGGGGAGGGGCTTACAGATGATTGCAATGGTGAGCGGGCAGTGTGCGCTTGTGCACCTCGGCCCGTGCGGCTTTCGTCTTGCAGTCGCACTACCTAGTACGATTTTTGGCGTGTTTTCTAGCGTGTTTAGAAGACGAAAGTCATGCACCGTACAGTAGAAGCGGTCGCACGCTGCCCATACACCTGCCGATTATCGTACGATCGCGGGACCACCCACAACTATCGTACAATAATCGTCAGGTGTATGGGCGCCTTTACACTGGAAGTGATTCTGGGGGCTGAGCTGCCACCAGATCTCTTCCAGGGGCCGATGAAAAGTGCCCCCACCCGACACCCCCCCAGCTCCGGTGCCCCTCCTGCAGACCTGGGACCGGCATCGCCGGTGTCGGTGGGTAGAGTGGGAGAGAGACCAGCGAACATCCTTCCGAGTGATTGCATTACTTGCAGCGTCTCGGCTAGTCGTTCCCTGGCTGGAGAAGTCGGGGAGGAAGCTGTCCGGGCGCCATCTGTGCTCGAGTAGCTACACGAGGGGTCTAATGTCACCATAAAGAGTACCTGTCATCACAAATATTCTATCACATAGGCGGCTTCTCAAACAAATTAAAAAGTTTAAGTAAAATAAATGTAAAAAAAACAAAAACGTTTTTAAAGGCCCCGCCCCCATTCGTAGGTAAACAGGCGTCGGGTGCGCCGATGTATGAAGATGACGATTGTGTTACACGGGTTGGGTATCGCCAGAGTGAGAGCAATAATTCCGGGACTGATCTTCACAGTTAACTATAAACTGATGACCTGTACGGGCTTTTAAAGCGACGCCGATGGACAATTTGCGGTGCCGCGTTTTGTCGCCGTTTCACGGGCGCACCCGCAGTGGGTATTTTCACTGATCCCCATAGTTGGAGCCGACGTGTGACAATGACACTGTGACAGGTCGGCTCAGTAGTTCGGAAGGTGAGAGAACACATACCGGCGCTCGCTTACTTCTCGATCCTGTCCCTGCAGAGAGCCGTGACTGTCACTCACCACTCCCTGCAGGGATTCCCCGCTCCGATCCTCCAGCGCTGACTGGCACAACAGACGGGGGAGGGGGCGAGTACAGCTATGTCCGCCTCTAGATAGGCAGAGCCAGCTGTCACTCACGCAGCTGGGTGGAGCCAGACAGTGATGTCGGGATCCGCTCCGGCTGCGGCGGTCTCACAATACCGCGAGCTGTAGCTCCCTATATACTGAGCCTAGGGTGACGGGAGGGCGCTAGTTTGTGTTCTCCCGTCACCCTGAGGAGAACTATGGGGAAAAGCCCTGACCTCGTACTTCTCCTCTAAGTGTCATTTTTACTGAAATTTTGGGTTTGATAAAGAGTTGCGCTAATATCATGTAAAGGTAACAATGTGCAACTGCCGCCATGTTATTCCCCGGGGTCTCGGCTTTCAGGAAATATACGACTCTTGGGGGGTTTTAAGTCATTTTCAGGCCTAAAAAGTGGATTGTAACATGTGCAAAAAATATATAAAATGCTGTGGCAGTGAAAGGGTTAATCAAAAAACAAAAAAGTAACAAAAAAATGTAAAAATCTGTGTCATCCCAATTTGGAAATACACTTTAAGATATCTGTTCACTAGGGATGAGCCGAACACCCCCCTGTTCGGTTCGTATTCAAACAGCCGAAATGTTCGAATACGAACTCAATGCAAGTGTATGGGGGTCGAATGTTCGACCCTCATACAGTTGCCGGTACATGTGATAAATATTGTGTACTGCCCCCCTTACCTGCGCTGCTGTAACGGCCTCCGGTCCCCTGGTCCGTCCGCTCGCTGTCCCGGCCCCCTGGTCTGTCCGCCT